TCTGTGTCTGTGTCTGTGTCTGTGTGTGTGTGTGTGTGTGTGTGTGTGTGTGTGTGTGTGTGTGTGTGTCACTCATGGCAGGTGTTTGTCTGCTGCTATGGCAACCGTGGGCTCATATTTGATGTGCTCTCATTGAAGGGATTCTCTGGGTCAATAGAGACTGTTTACATGCCAACATCTCTCTCTCTCTCCCTCGCTTTCAGTCTTTTCATGATGCCTTTCTGCCGTTACCAAGAGGAAAATATTATTGCTTAGAGGTTTTCTCACATACGAAGTATCAGTTTTATTTTAGAAAATTCTTTAGGAGAAATAAAAATAGAGACAGATGTGACAGTTGTTGACATACAGTGAAAGTATCTCAGTTAAGCAGTAATAATGAATGTAGAAAGCAGATTATTTCTTGACATAATTTTTGATGAGAATTGAATCGATACAAACTTGAGCACAATTTAAGACATTGTGGAGATCTCTTCTAAAATTCTGCAAAACTCTGCGCTTATATGATTAGAAGGGATATTTTTATTGTAAAGTCAATCTTAGGCTGGTAGCTTTGTTTTGGATCGTAAGTAGCTGGTCATTAGTTAGTCAGGGTTGTCTTGAATTTATTAATCGAACAGGATGTAGAATTGTAAATCGTATTAAATTTGAATTAAGTAGAACTGAAATGTAATGAAATTCAGTACAGTTGAAATAACTGCTGTAAGTGTAGTTTTTACTGTAATACATGTCATTTCTCACTATAAATTACCCATTGACCTAATATAGGATATTAATTAATTAATACATAAATAAATAAAATTATTTATTAAAATTATATATATATAATTGTTAGTATTATTATTAATTATTATTAATTAGATAATTATATTAAAATTATTAGATCTAATATTTACCTGATATTTTCATTTTAAAAAATGTAATCATTATTAATTAGATAATACTTGTATTAAAATTATTAGATCTAATATTTACCTGATGTTTTCATTTTAAAAATTTTCATTTTTCGACACACCCAGAAAAACCCAAATAAAAAAAAAGACTTCTAGTGAGAGAGATTCTCGATAGAAGACAAGACAGACAGCAGCACACAGTTCACTGGACACATTCTTATAATAATAACTGTATGACATTATTAAAGTACAAGCGGTTCTGCATGTCTGTCGACGCTGGAATGAACTGAAGTGAAAGAATGAGGAAAGAAATGTTAATATCCCGTTTTAAAGAGAGTTGCGGGTCAGTGCTCATGCAGGTGGAGAGAGCGTTTGTATCGGGGCTGAAAACACTCGTAATCAAATCGTGTCTTTGTGAGCACTGCTCAACGCATGGATGACTTTTCAGGTCATTTCTGTGGAGAGAATGTATAGGACGCTCTGTACTTAAACACAAACGGTCTGATCTTCTGGTATCTACACAGACGAATATCACCATATCTTAGGATACCGTTTCGTGTAGCTTCGGAAGCATTTAATGCATTTCATCTCTTTAAAAGTGAAGTATGTTATTTAAAGTACTTTTAGTTGCTGAATGAGACCTCTAAATTAATGTCATTAAGCTGATTTCCGAAAAGTGTGCCACTTTCAAAGTGTTGTTTGGGAAACTAGTTTGAAAACAGTCATTCTGTTTCCATTTAGTGCAGATAGTAATATGGAAATGACAAATTTCAGCTTTAAAGACAAAAAGAATTCAATGTTTCAGCATATTTACTTACTTAAAACATGTTTCTGCTCCTATTATTAATGATTCATCAGTGCACATTATTCCAAAGAAGAAAATATTGATCTTTGTAATCTTTCACCATAATGTAATTAGTTTCCTTGTTATTAATTCCTTTCTGAAATCTTCTAAAAGGCTAATAGGCAAGTCACATTTATTAATGTGGCACTTTATACATTACAGATTGTTTCAAAGCCAAGTGTTAATATGCCGATATTTTTCAACTCATTTTGGCCGATACCGATATATTTCCTTTTGTTTGGAAACACGACCAAGTCTCTCCTGAATTATAAGCAAATTATTTTTAATTTTGGTTAGTTTTTAACAAGAACTTATTTGTTAGAATTAAATAAACAATAATGAAGTTATTTTCTAATGACAGTACATTGAAGATTTGAAAATAACTATAAATAAAACTATATTCAATCGCTGCATTTTTTTCTTCTCAGAAAGATGCAGTGGTAACCTTAACATTTTATTTTAAGATTTAACATTTGTAAAAGGTCTAAAGCAAAAGAGTTGTACAAATTCTGAAAATCTTTTTGCTTTTTGATTTAAACATTAATGAATATATCAGTATATATAAAATTATTTAAAGGGGTCATATGACGTTGCTAAAAAATAACATTATTTGGTGTAATGCAATGTGTTTATGCGGTTTAAGGTTCAAAAAACACATTATTTTCCACATACTGTACATTATTGTTTCTCCTCTATGCCCCGCCTTTCTGAAACGCGTCGATTTTTACAAAGCTCATCGTTCTGAAAAGCGAGGTGTACGCTGATTGGCCAGCTATCCAGTGCGTTGTGATTGGCCGAATACCTCAAGCGTGTGACGGAAATGTTGTCCCGGTGCGACGATACAAAACCAATAAAACCCATTACAAACGAGGCATTCGTTGCATCCAGTGGGGACATAATTACGAATTATAATGACTTATACTGTCTTTTTACGCGTTGCGTTGCATATCCCACCACGTAAACATAAAACCATGTCTGCATTTGTGATCAGAGAAACGACAAAAAACAAGTGCTAACTTACTCTACTGTATTCCGATATTGGTCCGATAATATCGTGCATCCCTAGCAGCATATGCTGTAAAAAGTGCTCTGGCAGGTGAATTTGAACTTCTTGCTTATGTACATGCCAGGGTTGAGCATTCTTCTAAACATCTTACAGATAAATATACAGAAGTGCAATGAGATTTAGTAAATGATCAAACAGATACTCACAGGTTCACTCTTAACAAACTGAACGGCTGTATTTGTCCTAATTCCTGAATCCTGAATTTGTCCTGAATTCATGTTCAGACATGAATACTCTTTCCCATGATGCCCTATACATCTGACAGCTTGTGCTGTTCAGTACGAGAGCGATGCGCTGCCTTTCACACTCATCCGACTGTGTCTTATTGAGACAGACGAGTTGTAATGGAGACCATCTGTGCCCATCCTGTTCAATCAAGAGCTCACCTCGCTCTCTCTGACTCTCTTTGTCCTTTTCTTATGATGGCACAGGTTACAGAGAGTGATTTGGATCAGTATGTCTGGAAACATTAACAGCCTCTTCATTTACAGACATGAATCCGCACTTGCTGTCACAAATTTATGTTCTGATGACTTTAATAGAAGGAAAACATTTGTTACACTCTAATTTGATGTATTTGGTGTATGCTCAAAAACGTCAGCAATGCCGAGATCATGGGTTTGATTCCCCGTGAATGCATGCACTTGATAAAATGTATATTTTATTTATAAATGTCCACTTTTATTGGACATGGACATGTATTAAATTGGACGTATTAAATTGATCAAAAGTTACAGTAAAGACATTTATAATGTTTCAAATGATTTCTGTTTCAAATAAATGCTGTTCTACTTTCTATTCATCAGAGGAAAATATCATGGTTTCCACAAAAAATATGAAGCAGCACAACTGTTTTCAACATTGATAATGATCAGAAATGTTTCTTGAGCAGCAAATCAGCATATTAGAATGATTTGTGAAGGATCATGTGACACTGAAGCCTGGAGTAATGATGCTGAAAATACAGCTTTGCATCACAGGAATAAAATATATTTAAAAATATTTTCAAAATAGAAAACAGGTCTTTTAAATTGTAATAATATTTCACAATATTACTGTTTTTACTGTGTTTTTAATCATATAAATGCAGCCTTGATGCGCATAAGAGCAAATAATACAAACTTTTGAACTGTATTCTATATACCAATTTAATATCAGAAATGACATATATATTAAAAAAAAAAATCGAATTATTGGAAAATTGTTTATCTTATATCAGTGAAAAATTACTTTGTTAGCCAGTGTAGTTCAGTCATTAACAATGGCCATTATATCATCCAATAAATTGCTCATTTTAATTTCATGTTGATTCTCAGCCAGTTTTAGTGTCATTTCTCAATCTTTGCATGTGTACAGGTTATCCTGGAGTTTACCCTACGACTGCCCCGACCTACACAGCCAACCTTTACCAGACAGGTAGCCCGGGATACCCACCAGGTGTGTACACACGCTCACACACATGCTTTCTGTCCACTGAATATGGAGTATTACACACTTACATTAGCAAAAAAATGCATCAGGCCAAACATTTACACACTTTAATGATCCATTAACACCAATAAAACACACGCATTTGTATTCACAAACGCATACGGTCCTAAATGCAGCCTTGATGCGCATAAGAGCAAATAATACAAACTTTTGAACTGTATTCTATATACCAATTTAATATCAGAAATGACATATATATTAAAAAAAAAAATCGAATTATTGGAAAATTGTTTATCTTATATCAGTGAAAAATTACTTTGTTAGCCAGTGTAGTTCAGTCATTAACAATGGCCATTATATCATCCAATAAATTGCTCATTTTAATTTCATGTTGATTCTCAGCCAGTTTTAGTGTCATTTCTCAATCTTTGCATGTGTACAGGTTATCCTGGAGTTTACCCTACGACTGCCCCGACCTACACAGCCAACCTTTACCAGACAGGTAGCCCGGGATACCCACCAGGTGTGTACACACGCTCACACACATGCTTTCTGTCCACTGAATATGGAGTATTACACACTTACATTAGCAAAAAAATGCATCAGGCCAAACATTTACACACTTTAATGATCCATTAACACCAATAAAACACACGCATTTGTATTCACAAACGCATACGGTCCCTAATGCATTATACTGTCTAGCCTCGTTTTGATGATGCTGGCCTGTAACTGAACAATTAAGCAGCGTATTACTGTTATATAGTGCTGCTTCCAGCTAGTGATGCAATGTTCAGACTAAATATATACAATAAATCTGCATAAGCGTTACAAAATTGACTTCATTAGTATTCATGTAACAGTTGAACTTGAACAATACTGATGTATATGGCCACTAATTGTGTTTTATTTCTTTATGAGCTGCTCCCTGAAATGAATTCTATCAATAAATCTGTCTCGATCTGGAGAGATATATGCGAATAATGCATCCGCAAATGATATTTCAAAGTTTTTCAGCTGTAAATCTGCATGATTTGAGTCTCGAGAGAAAGGCAGACGCAGTGAGGATGAGTCATGTGAAGAAGGTTGTCTTTAAGTGCAGATCATTTTCCATTAGTATTGTGTTAACAGGCTTGTTTGAGCTCAGCTTTTAGCATGGTGTTTGATACTGTATTGTTAAAAGAGATAAACTGGATTTGTGCTGTAAGCAGACATTTTTGGATCAAGGATGTAAGTGGTGCAGTAGTGGATTGGTTTGTGAGGTCTGTGGTGTAATCAGTGCCGCCCTGAACAGATGCTTGTATCATTTCTGTCTGTAATGTTATGACATGCCACCTGCCATTTTCAGATGCTTATACAGGCTGTCGTAGATCAGAGATCAAGTTGACATTTTGCTGTCAGAATCAGGTTTTTTTAATTAATATTTTAGTTTGGTCTAGTTTCTGGCTTGCTTGGATATGATCTCAGATATCAGTAAATGGTACTTTTGGTTGACCAGCAGTTCTTTTACACAATCTGATACACTTTCTCAACAAATTATTTTGGTTTCCACCCAATATCTCCGTTAAAAGCATTTAGAGCGCAAAGATTTCTGCAAGATCTTTTTTGTCAGTAAAAATACCAATTAAAACACATATTACAAAACATAGTCTGTCTGATAAGACTAGTGGTAATAAAATGCTAAATACCAAAAATAAAACACAGCTAAATGATAAAAAGCATTGTTGGGATAGCAAATTATCAGCTTTTAAAAGGGAATTATCACATATATATTTTTGGTTCGATACGGCACAGTGGTGTCACAGTTCGGTTCGGCACGTTCGGTACGGGGGTAATAAGTTACGTCGCAATGTTGGAAATATTTCTGTTTTAAACCATGAAGGCGAGCCAATGGATATCACACACATATTGATTTTTTATTGATGACTGCAGTGTTAATATTTTAATTGTAGGCCTATAAATCATTGTATAGCTAATAGACCTGTATTAAAATACCTTTTTTTTAAACATTTTAATCGAGGAGTAAATATATAGCCTAATCTTTTGTTATCCTCGCAGCACGTCAGTTATTTGGTAATTATTGCGGGGCAAATTAATTGTCATTTTAATTTAATAATAAAAGTAACTTCATAATAATAATAATAATAATAATAACAGGCCTAATGAAAATAAGAATGTAACAGGCCTACATTAATTTGAAATGCCAAATATTTTAATATTGCCAACAATTGATGTTTTTGACAATATCTCTGGCTATCGTCGATTCAAGATCATCGTCTTTCGACGCACCCCAGCAAGGGGAGGTTATCGCGGGGCAGACAGCACGTTGCCTGTTACGTCGTTTGGGCTGCCTTGTTGAGTGCAGTGGCACTGAGAACATCATATTTCACACACTTTAAGCTGTTTTATTTTCCAAATGTAATAGGATTAGTTCAACGAATCAAATCGTTCGGTTTGTAATGCGCACCGAACCGAAAGCCTCGTACCGAACGGTTCAATACGAATACGTGTATCGTTACACCCCTAGTGGTTTGTGCCGGCTACAAATACTCCACTAATTTTACATTATTTATATATTTTGTATCACTCTAAAATAAAGTTTAGCACAATTTTACATTAGGTGGAAGATTTTCATTCATATTATTGATTCTAAAAGCTATCGTATTGATTTTAATTGTTTATTGGCCATTATTTTGAATGTTAGTTATCGGTATTTTCAAAATCAGTTGACCAAAATCGACTATCAGTCGAAATTACATTTAAAAACATTGAGTTTATTTCGGTCTCTTTTTTCTTTCTCCTCTAGTTGTACATTATTTAGTTATTTCATGACAGTAAAATAAAAATAATAAAAGTGTCAGTAGTGATGAAGCTTAGCTATTTTTATGTATTGTAACCAGGGTTTGAAATTAACACCCGCCAAATGTGGGTAAAAATCAGCTGTGGCGGGTAACGCTGTCAAATCACTAGCCAATTTAGCAGGTTACTTTTCGTAAATTATGTTCACTCATTAATTTCTTGGGGAAGTTCATGCAAGCCAAATCTGTGCAGGTTTAGCGCAAATACTGAACTCGTGAGACATCATGACATTATCGAGTATATTGCAAAAGCTAAACAAGACACATATACAGAGGCGTGCATACGCGACGAGATGAAGTCTGGTTAGAGTAGACCAACACAGGCTTTAGTGCGCGTGCGCTTTTAGAGTGGTTCTTTCACTGCATGATTCAGTCTATTAATATGCATTAAGAATGATCACATAATTCAAGATATGGAGGCAGAAAATGTATATATTTATATCAATTCATATAGTTAATCAATATCACACGAAGAGTGCCGTTTTTTCTTAAAAAATCAGCATGGTTACAAATGTGATATT